TCAGAGGGTTTATGCTCTTTCAGAGGCTGTGGCGTGGGGCAAGCACAGACACAAGCACAGGCATTTCTAAGCTGGCCTGGCCCACCCTGGTTAAACCAAGCTGAGGGCTCAGCTCATTCAGCCCCCCATCCCTGCTGGAGGGTGCCACAGTTCATTTTAGCATTTGGATTCCCACACAAAGCCAGCTCCAGGCAGTGGTGCCAGACACAGCCTCCAGGCATGCCCTGAGCAAGGGATCCAACCCCCCCAGGCTGTTCCCGTTCCCTCACCCACATTTGGAGGAGTTGCTGCTCTTTGCAGCGTCAGATTTTGGGACTTGATCCAGGCAATAGCTCCAGCACTGGGCAACCTCAGGTCTCTCTCCAGAGCTTGGGGTCACATTCAGGCACTTCCTCATCCCACCCTGCTTTTCCAGACCCCAAAATCCCCACTTCCTCAGAGGATCCTTCCCAGGATGCATGTAGAGGGAGAAGGTTCTGTTCACAATTCCCAGGTAAAGCAGACAAAATACGAATTGAAAACCTTAAAGTGTTCATTGAAAAACATGGCCTCTGTGTTCAATTCCTTAGTTTATTCCAAGGGGGTTATTCCAGTGTTTTTGGGGAAGCCAGAAGGGAAGGGGAGGCACCAGGCAGCCCAGGGCTATCCAGGGAGCAGCCTGGGTGTCCAAGCTCATGGACTGGCCCATGGAAAGCCCCAGTGCTGCCCAGCCTCACTCTGCACCTTCACTTCTCCCCTTCCAGCATTCCCAGAGCCATCCCCCTCCCAGGCACCCCGAGGAAGCTCTCCCCAGGAGGGATCAGAGGGAAAGGTCACCCTGGCAGCCCCACACCCTGCAATGCCAGCTCCAGGTACTCACAGCCAACAGAGCCCAGTTCACGTGAAAAAATAGGGTGATTTTATTATAAACTTCAGAAAAAGTAAACAAACAACATGAACACAGCATTTAACTGGACATCTTCCTCAGGGACACAGCTGTCCCAGGAAATCAGGCACTTTGCAGCCCCAGAAGGTCCAGGTACACAAGTCAGGCTTCCTGGTTTTCCTGGAAAACAGATTTTCCCCATAGCACTGCCTGCCCTCACTGACACTGGGGACAAAGCAACTCCTCCCATCTCTCTCCTCACCCTCCACTTCCCAGGGCAGCAGCTTCCTGGGAATTGGGAGGGTACCCAGCAGTGCTTTGGGACCAGAGCNCCCCTGTCCCAGCCCTGGGACCCCCCAGCCCTCCCTGCTGCCCACGCCAGGCCCGAGGTAACCCGCCCCCGGCTCCTAATTGGATTTGTTCATGCTAATTATGATGGTTTTCGCCTCGATTAAGCCATTTGTTTCCCAAGCAGCTCCCTCGGTACAGGTCTGAGCCCTTTGCAGGCTGCTCTGGCCACGTGTCCTCGGTGCTCCCCAGCTGTCAGGGTCACCTTTGCTCACCCCTCAGGCTCTCTCAAGGCCCACACTCATCTCCTCATCCCCCAAACACAACATTATCCCCTCCATTTCTCTCCCTCTCCCCATTGTTATAGATACAGATTATATTGTTGGCTTTTTGCAAATATTAAAATGAATGTTATGTGTATAAGAATGGAAAATTTCATTGTATTAATATAGTTTTCTTTATTTCTGTTATTGATGAAACTTAGAAATAGTGGTATAATACATATATGTTAGGCTATAGCATAGTATTAAAATAAAAACTGCCTTTGTTTGTATAACCCAAAGACTGAGAAAAAATAGCTAGAGAACCCCTGCATTTGTAAACTATCTTATCCAGCTGAAGACAGCAGTGAACAGAACTCTGGGGGAGAAATTTATTGCATTTCTGTTATCAGAGAATGTAAATCTTGATGGTGCCAAGCAGATTGATCTATTGGGAAGGGGGCAAGAGAAAACTAAACAGAAGAACACCAAAGATCCTAAGAAGAACGTTTGAATATGTATGAGAATTTATGGATATGTAGTAGGGTTCTGTTTTTAAGGGACAATCCTTTGTCAGTAAGGTGAGCTCTCGTGGCTGAATGCAGAGACACCCAGCCGTATCTGTATGCTTTATTTTTATCTCCTAATTGTCTTTTTATTAAACTTTTAAATTCTATAAAAAATATGTGAACATCATTTTTCACACCCTCCTTCCCATCCTCCCACAGCAGCGGCCTCGCTCTCTGGTGGCCCTTGCCGAGGACATGGGGCTGGCCCCAGTGTCACCCTCAGAGCCACCGAGGCCAGGAGGGTGCAGAGCTCAGCTCTGGGCCCCACATCCTGCGTGGTTCCCACCATCCCAACCCCTCTGGCCTGCAGGAGGGCCTGGAAAAGCGGGGCCTGGAAAAGCGGGGCCTGGAAAAGCGGGGCCCGGAAAAGCGGGGCCCGGAAAAGCGGGACCTGGAGATTTCCAGGGGATGCAGAGGTGGAAGAAGGGAATTTGCTCCTCAGCAGGGACTGAGGGGAAGGGTGAGAAGGATCTCACAAAATCTGGGCCTGGATGAGACTCAGGGCTGTGCCCAGGGGCAGCAGAGGCTCAGCTGGGCACATCCCACAGCTTTTCCCTAGAAAAGAAAATGCCAAGGAGGGCTCTGTGCATCTCCATCCACCCCAAATCCAGTAACCTGCTTCATCAGGCTGCTCCTGGCACCCTCCAACACCAAACCAAGGGGGCTGCAGCCAACCTGTGTCCCTGTGCTCCATCTCCTCACACTGCAGGGGAAAACAGGCAAAAAACCCCCACAGGCCAGGAAAGAAGAATAAGAACAAGGAGAGGGAGGGAAGGGATGCTCAGAGGTGCTTCATGGATTGGGCAGGACAGACTCTCCATCCCTGTCCTGCTTCACCCAGACCTGGAGAGGGGCCAGAAGTCCCCAAAAGCACCACACAGATCCCATCCTGTGGCTGCAGCCCCACTGAATGGCCCCAAACAATTTTTTAGCACCAAACCTGCATTTTTGGGATGTACCAGTCTCATCCTTCTGCAAAGGGATGTGGCTCATGTGCACACAGCATTTTAAGCAGCTCAGTGGTGACACCCCTGAGGCCACCAACAGCCAGTGCCACCCTCAGGTACAGCTCCAGGCTGAGCCTTCACCCACTGAAAGGCCACCATCGCACTCCTCCTCCTCACAAACGGGCACCAGCCACCTGCTGGGGCTGGACTCAGGGCTCAAACAACTCTGCAGCTGCTTCTCCAAGCCATTTACTTCCACCATGCTCAGCTGAGGAGGTCTCTTCTTCCTAAATCAGGGCTTAAAGTCAGGGGAGATCTGGGTATGCTCAGAATTAATTCGCAGGTGAGCTCAGAGACAGATTTAGGGCTGTTTCTTTCCTCACCACATTCAACATCACTACTCTGACTCCCCCAAAGCTCAGGAGCAAGAGGAAAAGCCAGCCCAGATTCCAGAGAGAGCCCCTGCCCAGCTTTGTGAAGGATGCTTTATTAATTTCTGCTGCAGAGAAGGAGAGAGCTCTTGAACACAAAACAAGGAGCGCCTGAATTAATGCTGAGCCCAGAATAATATCCAGGAGCTGCAGGATCAGCTCCTCTATCAACCTTTAACAAAAAATAATTCTCACTGTTATTTAGCAGTAATGAAAGCAGAGCTATTGTGGCTGCAGATAACACCAGGTACAAGGCACTGCAGCTTTATGAGTGCTTGAGTTTCATGACTCAGAACTGTTAATGGTGCACAAATCACCAACCTGAGAGAAAAATAGCCCTGCCTGGTCCAAGCCATACCCTGCTGGAGCAGAGGCACAAGGAACCAGTGCTGGATCTCTGGCTAGAGCTTCAAAACCAATTTTAGAGGGCCAGGGAAGAATCCAAGGGCAGCAGTTTCAGGAGAGGTGTCCTGACCCAGCCATGGGTTTAAAGGTCCAGAATTTCCACCCTTAAGTGGTTCACTGGTCAGAGAAGGCCTTGGAAAGATTGGTGTAACCCAGCAGGGCTGATTTGACAGGCAGGACAACTTTTAATAAGCCTGACATTAAGATCCCTGATCCCAGCAGGGTCTGGGAAGCCAAGACTGCTCCCTCCCCCTTACCTGCCTTCCAACTCCCTGGGATTTTGAACTCTCACTCCTTCCTGCAGTCCACAGGAGCTGGGACACAAGCACAGCCTTGGGGCAGCTCAATTCCTCTGTCCTCTCAGAGGGTTTATGCTCTTTCAGAGGCTGTGGCGTGGGGCAAGCACAGACACAAGCACAGGCATTTCTAAGCTGGCCTGGCCCACCCTGGTTAAACCAAGCTGAGGGCTCAGCTCATTCAGCCCCCCATCCCTGCTGGAGGGTGCCACAGTTCATTTTAGCATTTGGATTCCCACACAAAGCCAGCTCCAGGCAGTGGTGCCAGACACAGCCTCCAGGCATGCCCTGAGCAAGGGATCCAACCCCCCCAGGCTGTTCCCGTTCCCTCACCCACATTTGGAGGAGTTGCTGCTCTTTGCAGCGTCAGATTTTGGGACTTGATCCAGGCAATAGCTCCAGCACTGGGCAACCTCAGGTCTCTCTCCAGAGCTTGGGGTCACATTCAGGCACTTCCTCATCCCACCCTGCTTTTCCAGACCCCAAAATCCCCACTTCCTCAGAGGATCCTTCCCAGGATGCATGTAGAGGGAGAAGGTTCTGTTCACAATTCCCAGGTAAAGCAGACAAAATACGAATTGGAAACCTTAAAGTGTTCATTGAAAAACATGGCCTCTGTGTTCAATTCCTTAGTTTATTCCAAGGGGGTTATTCCAGTGTTTTTGGGGAAGCCAGAAGGGAAGGGGAGGCACCAGGCAGCCCAGGGCTATCCAGGGAGCAGCCTGGGTGTCCAAGCTCATGGACTGGCCCATGGAAAGCCCCAGTGCTGCCCAGCCTCACTCTGCACCTTCACTTCTCCCCTTCCAGCATTCCCAGAGCCATCCCCCTCCCAGGCACCCCGAGGAAGCTCTCCCCAGGAGGGATCAGAGGGAAAGGTCACCCTGGCAGCCCCATACCCTGCAATGCCAGCTCCAGGTACTCACAGCCAACAGAGCCCAGTTCACGTGAAAAAATAGGGTGATTTTATTATAAACTTCAGAAAAAGTAAACAAACAACATGAACACAGCATTTAACTGGACATCTTCCTCAGGGACACAGCTGTCCCAGGAAATCAGGCACTTTGCAGCCCCAGAAGGTCCAGGTACACAAGTCAGGCTTCCTGGTTTTCCTGGAAAACAGATTTTCCCCATAGCACTGCCTGCCCTCACTGACACTGGGGACAAAGCAACTCCTCCCATCTCTCTCCTCACCCTCCACTTCCCAGGGCAGCAGCTTCCTGGGAATTGGGAGGGTACCCAGCAGTGCTTTGGGACCAGAGCAATCAGGGGGATGTTTCTTGTGGTGAAAAATTGCCACATCACACAGAATCCTCCCTATTTTCTGCTGCAAAATATCAGGGCCAGGGAATCATGACAGGCTTGTGGCAACCTGCTGGCAGCAGCCCCAGGTCAGAGGTGCCAGAAGCTGGTGCCTGGGCACACACAGCACCACCCCACCAACACCTGGGACAGCGGCTGTGTCCCTGCACAGGAACCCCTCAGCAGCAGAGCCCTGTGACAAAGAGCCTGGGGACATCCAGAGGACTTGTGACTCCTGCCCTGCTCCACACTCAGATTGTCCCAAGGTTCCTTACCCCATCGTGGGACATGCTGGTGTCACAGGCTGTGTCAGCCTCCTGCTCGCTGCCATCCCCTCGTGGCTTCTGGGCATCACCACTGGCCACATCTGGAACATCTTCCCCACTGCTGGCCACAGCTGGATCCTCAGCTCCTGGTGGCAGCACGGAGCCCTGGGGGTTGTGTGGCACAGAGACACAGTCAGAGCAGCACAAAATCCATAAGGGATTCATGGAATTCAGATCAGAGCAACCCCAGACTCCCTCCCCCTGCAGCCAGGGGCTGGGGTGGATCCTTCCAGCCCAGGATTGTTGCTGTTCCCAGAAATGGAGCAGGAACACCCACCTGGACAGCTGAGGGCTCCAGCACGGTGACCCCACCCTGTTCCTCCAGCTCCAGGTCAGTGTCATTTTCAGACTGGTACTCGTTACTGTCCGACTCTTCCTCTGAGGGCTGGGGGAGAAGAGGCAAAGGGAGGCTCTGAGGAAGGGACAGTGTGGGGAGGGACACCCCAGTCCTGTCCCAACAGCACTGGGAGCCACAGCCAAGGGTGACAGATGCTGCCTTGCAGGGACGTCGGCCAAAGGGAAACCTCGGGGATGAGTGGGGCACCTCCAGCTCAGGCTGTGCTGGGGTGATGGTCAGGTGCTCCTCAGACAACCTGTGCCCTCAGAGAGGGGATAGGGAAGGAAACCTCTGCAGGTTCCTTCACAGGGACACTCCCAGAGCATCCCAGGCCCACACAGAGGCCAAACCATCTTGGACTTGCTCAGCAGCCACAACCTCTCACCTCATACGTGGGGTCTTCAGAGTCATCCTCTGGCAAATCCCTCTCCAGCACCATAAACCAGGACTCCTGCTCCTCCAGAGCCACATCATCCCGTTTCCTCTTGCTGGCTTTGCTGGCTGGGTTGATCAGAGCCTCCCTGATCTCTGCAGGGATTCACAGGAGGTACAATCACCACACCCATAACGAACACAGCCGTTTTCCCAGCTCCCTGCAGGAATTCCAGACTGTGTTCTTCCTAGCTGCAAAGCCTCCAGTTGTTCCAGGATGCCCCAGCTCTTACCCTTGGACATGTTGGTCTGGCCCCAGTCCACTGGGAGGTAGCCCAGGAAGTTCTGGATCCTGGTGGGAGTCACAGAGAGCAGAAGGCGCACGAGCTTCCCCCGGCGCTTCCTGGCGAGGAGCCCAGGCCTGCTGGGGGACTGGGGGCAGAGTTTGCTCCTGAGGGTCCCAACAGGGAACACAAATCCAATCCAGACAGATGCTTTCTGAAGGAGCTTCAGCTGCAAAAAGAGGTCCATCAGCACATGGGAGAACACAGGTGTTCTCCTGTAAGAGAAAGCCTTAAACTCTGCTCTGTCCCAGTGTGGAGCTGAGATTGGGACCAACTTCAGACAGGACCTGTTGAGCTGTACTTTATTCCCAAACCCCTCACATTTCTTCTGGCTCAGAGAGGGAGAGAAATTGGAATGTTCCAGCCACCAACAGCTGAAAGGGCACAAGGCAAGGCCAGGGAGAAAAAGCTGGGAAAGGGAGGAAAGCAGAGGACAAGTACATGCAGAGAAAAAACATCATAGAATTGTTTGGGTTGAAAGGGATCTTAAGGACCACTTATTCCACCCCCTGCCATGGCCAGGGACACCTCCCACTGTCCCAGGCTGCTCCAAGCCCATCCAGCCTGGCCTTGGATGCTTCCAGGGATCCAGGGCCTGCCCACCCTCACAGGGAGGAATTTCTTCTTAATATCTAATAATGTGAAAAGACTGAAAGAAAAGGACCAATCTGGCAGAAAAACCCCAGAAACTGCCAGTGTTGAAGTTTTAGCCACCCCCTCCCCAGACTCAGCATCACTCACTGGGTACTTGACCAAGCTGAGCTGAAGGATCTGGCCCAGGAACCTGCTGGAGAAGGAATCGCTGCTGGTGGGTGGTCTCATCTGGAGAGAGAGAAAGGTCAGAGCCTCCAGCCCAGCTCTGAGAGCACTGCCAGCAGAAATCACCTCTTGGGCAGTGCCCAGACCTGCTTTAGGCTGGGCTTTGGGGGCTAATCCATAGACACCAGGCTGCCCTGGCTTAGAGCCCTGTGTGGCCCTCATGGTACTTATAGGTCCTGCCCCATCTGCTCCTCTTTACCCTGATGAGCTGCTGGCTCTGCTGATTGCTGGGGCAGCCCAGGCCCTCAGCTGGGGCTCCCCTGCTATCAGCACTGGGCCTCAATTAAGGGCTCTCATTTAGGGGGTTGTTTTCTCTCAGTTTGAGGTTTTCTCCTGGAGCTTGCCAAGGCTCTGACTTGAGATCTCTCCTCTTGCTCTGTGCAGGTGTAAAGAGCTGAAGGTGATGAGAAGCCAGAACTGCCCTGCTGAGCCCCCCAGGGATGGGAGAAGTGTGATCCCAGGGGAGGGGAGGCCCCTCTGCATCCCCCTGCTCCGTGCCCCACAGAGATGGAGCTGCTTTTCCTGTCTGTATCATTTTCCCAGCAGGATCCACCCTAAAGCCAAAATTATCCCCTGATAGCAGAGGGGCTTCTTTAGCTGTGGGGAGAGTGGCAGGAAACCACTGCCAGCCGTGCCCCGCTGGGGGAAACGCAAAGCTGGGAGCTTCATCCTCCTCACCCCTCACCTGCAGGAGGCACAAAGCCTCTTTCCTCTGGCCTGGGCACTGCCTGGGGCTGCTCCCCCTGGTTCCCAGCCCAGCGGGATGGGAGGACAGGGATGCTGCGGGAAAGGAGGCAGCACCGAGCCCCGGCCGGGGTGTGAGGAGGGGCTCGGGGCGCGGTGCTCGGAGCTGCCGCTCGCTCTGGGGAATGGCGTGGGCCGGAGCGCTTCCCACGGGAGCTTTGCTAGACAGAGCTGAAGTGTTTGTCTGCCGCTCCCGGCTGCCCCTTCCACCTGGTGCCCACGGCTGGTGATTCATCCCGCTCCTGTGGCGGCTGACAGAGCTGCTGGCCGTGTCCTCAGCTGTCCCCTCCAGCCCCGTGTCCCGGCGGTGCCGTCACCGCGCGTCACCAGCCGGGGGTGGCCGCCGAGCATAAATGGGCAGCGCTGCCCAGCGAGCCCTCGGGGCCACCATGTCCCTCTGTCCCCCCGCGCTCCAGGGCAGCAGCTCCGGCGACATCTTCTTCCACGTGGTGACCCCCGACCGCATCCCGCAGTTCATTATCCCGTCCCTGGACACCCACAAGAAGCGGAGATGCTCGGGCAAGGCGGCGGGACAGCTGGAGGGGACGGCTTGGAGGAGCTGGGAGCCAGCGGTGCAGGATGAACACGGCTCTAACTCATCCACCTTTAACTCATCCAACCCAGATCCCACCGCCTGGGCAGCTCTGTCCCTGCCGCACCTCCCCAAGGTCACCACCCCGTACGGCTTTGTCACCCTGGCGCGGAGCCCGCAGGTCACCGGCGAGGAGGTGTTTTTCCACTCGGGCTCAGGCCAGCCTCGGGCTCCCGCTGCCGGGACACGGCCCAGCTGGCAGGAGCAGCCGGGATGCTGCAGACATCCCGGGATTCCTGCTGCTGAGGGAGACTCCGGGATGGGAGGAAGCCAGAGGGACGGCGAGCAGCCGAGCCCCCGTGCCAGCGGTCACAGGGACGATGGAAGCAGCCCGGCCCCAGCAGGGCTTCCCCTGCCCAGATGTGCCAGAGAAATCCGAGAAACAGAGGCTCTGGAAAGCCAAGAGGCAGAGAAGAGGGACAGGAGGCTCCTGGGCATGGGCTGTCCGAGGAGCAGCTCCGGCCTGGAGCTCCCCGCGGAGACAGCCAGGAAGAATTTGTTCCAGAGGATCCTCGGGAGGCACCTTGTCCACCCGCGGCAGCTCAAGCCTGGCCATTTCACTCTCCACTGATCCCGCAAAGCATTTCCGAGGAACTGAGATTCCCTAAAGACCTGGGGAAGAGACGCTTCTGTCAATGGCTCAGAGCATCAATGCAGAGCAGCCAGGCTCAGCCGGGAGCATCAGGGTGTCACCTTCCCCGAGGGGACCGTCTGGAGGTGACATTGCCGGTGGCAGGGCACAGCTGGGAGGGACACAGCAGTGCTGGGGAGCCGAGGGGCTGTGGGTTTGTGGCTGTTCAGAGCCTGAATAAATGTGCAAACATTTCATCTGAGCTGCTGTCCTCTCCTTTTCTTTCTTGTGCCAGCACTCAGGTGTCACCAGGGTGTTTTGGTGACCCCAGCACCCTCTCCTGTTGTACCCCCAGGCTCAGCAGCTCCTGAGCTGAGAGCAGTTTCCTGATGGGCTGGCACTGCTGGAATGCAGAGCAGGGGACACTGAGCCTCAGGAGCTGCAGCAGGCCAGGAGGGAGCAGTGACCACATCCCCTTTCCAGCTTTGTGGCCATAACCTGGGGTGTTTGAACGTGTCAGGGTCCCCGTCCCAGCCTTGCAGAAGGGACCTCAGCTCCAGGACACAGCAGCTGTCCTGACACAGTGACCCCTCACTGTTCCAGACCATGCAGTTTCCAACCACTCCTAACCAGCTGTGATAAACAAGTCTCACTTTATTGACTGTTCCCTCATAAATGGCTTTTTTTTTTTTGCTTTTATTGAGCAGCAGAACCTGCAGTGCCAGAATGAAAGAGTTCATGGTCAGCAGTGTTTGGGGGCTGCTGAAGCAGTGTCAGGGGTCAGCAGTGCTGGGCTGCTGCCAGCTCCCCTTCCAAGGAGCTGATTCTCCAGGAGATCCCTGAGAGGTGGGACTGGGAGGGCTGGGCCCAGTCCAGGGGGGCTGGGAGTCGCTGAGGCCCCTGCACCAGCGGGGATTTGCATGTGGGTCATTAACCAGGCAGCTCATTAACCCGCTGTGCCTCCCAGCCCTTCCTGCCTGTGTCACCTGGGCCACCTCCTGCTCCAGTCAGTGACTTTGTTTTCCCCATCCCTCCCGTCTGGCTTGGCTCTCAGCTCTCTGTTGGAACTGCCACTTCCAAGGGAGCTTTTCCTGCAGTGTCTGAGCACCAGTGAGCAACAGGGATGAGCACAGAGGGCCCTGGAGTCCCTGTTCTCCTCCAGATGGGGCTCCATGGAAGCACCAGTACCCAGAGGGTCCATCCCAGTGCTGGTGGAGGGAGTGGGAGCTGGTCAGACGTGTCCCCCTGCACGGTTCCTGTCTGTGACTCCAGCACAGCAGATGTGGCAGCCAGCACTGCTGGAAGGAGATGTTCACTGCTGTGAACAGGGATGTGACAGAAAATCCACTCCCAGGTTATTCTGAGGAGCACTGGCACTATGGACTGAGTCAGGGACCGAGGCTCTGGAAATTTAAATTGGTCTCCAGCTCCTGAGGGCATCATCTCTGCTCGGCACTTGTGGCTGGGAGGGCAGATTGGGTTACCAGGGATTAATAAACGAGCTCTTATCAGTTACTGGGGCTGTGAGAGCTGCACATGTGCCTGCTCTGAGCTGACAGGCAACTGGGAATTACGCTCCTGTAAACCTCTCTCCTTTGATGCTGAAGCTGCTGCAGAGCAGTGGCTCTGTCTGACTGGCTCAGCACCTCCTGGGGAAAACATGGAAACAACTCCCCTGGAGCTGACTGAACCTGCTGTATTTACCAGTTAAACCTGGACACGGGGACCTGAGACTGCTGGGGTTTATTCCTTTCTTGGGGACCTTCCTGAGCCCCCAGGAGCTTTTTAAAATGTCCTTCACCTTGTCTACAAAATAGAAACAAATCCACTCTGCTTCCCAGGTTGGTTGAAGGGCTTAGTTCATCCTTGTTCCCAGGACATCCCCAGTACCCCTTCAGGAATTCCCAAGGGAAGAAATGCTGTGTGTTCCTGCAGGCTGCCATGGCGCAAGACTCATTTCCTCTGTGTGTGCCAGCGTGGGGACGATCAGCTGGAGAGGATCACTGGTTATAGGATTGTTTAAAATGGTTGGATTGTTTAAAATGGGAATTGCTGGCAGTGGGAGTTGTGTGGCAGGAGTGGAGCTGCGGCTGAATGAGGAGGGAAACAAATTCCCTGCAGCACAGCAAAGGTGCTCTGTGGTGGAATTGTGCCTCTGCCTGCCAGGTTCCAGCTCAAGGCACCTCTCCAGCCTGTGAAGTGAGAAGGACAATATCTCCCAGTGCCTCTGAGATTTACAGGATGCCCTTTTCCCTGCAAGCCAGGCAGGGAGGACATTACAACAGGAGACATCATGATGTGACAAGATAAATTGTCATTACCAGCCACTGATCATCCTGCCCGGGCCTGCTACATTTTCTAAATGTTGTTTTGGTCTGACTCAGAATTTCCTTCCAGCCTCCTGCAGGTAGAGGAAAGCTCAGGGCTAATTATCCCTCATCCCACGCTCTGAGCAGCACCAAGCATGCCTGGCTGCAAGGAGGGGGAATCAGAGGAGGAACCAATTCCAAGCTCCTGAATTTGGGAGGCTGGGTTGGGGACAGGACTTAAAATCCTCTGCAGCTCCCCAGCCCCTCTGGCAGGACTGTGCTGAGCCCTGGCCCCAGCTGTGAGACTGAGACCCTTCTTCCCTCCCTGTGACCCTTCTGGAATGTTCTGGCACCAGTTTATTTCAAGAAAACCAGTTAAACTGGGCAGGTATCCAGAGTGTTTCCCAGTGCCTCATTCCTGCAGACTATCAGGAAAAATTGACAGCTCTTCCCTTTGGTCTCAGGGGCTCCAGTGTTTCCCTCAGGTTCTCTCCTCCCTGCTCTCCAGTATTCCCATATGGAAATCAGGATCTACCCCTTCTCTTTTCAAGCCAGCCCAGTGACCCCCTAACCAGTTTGCTTCCATCACGTGTCACACCCTGCTCAAAGGGGTGACAATTTCTTGCTGTCAACAACCTCCAGTGCCACCAATGTCACCTGCTGGAGGTGGCTCTTGGCCACATTGGGCATGAGGAGGTCTGGTTCTCACAGGAACCCAAGCAACAGCAAAGAAATCCCACGGAGAAATCCCATTTCCCTGTGGTTTTTATGCTGGGGAGCACTCGGCCTCGCTGGGATCGATACGGAGCTGCTGCCCGTGCCAGGAATTTTACAGCCAGTGTCGGTGCCTGGGGCTGAGACAAATCCCTTCCTGGGCTCATTAGCTGCACAGCTCCTCTCCCAGCTAATTGGGGCTCTAAAGGTCAGGCTCTGGCTATGACCCAGCCTGCTGCAGCCTGGAGATCCAGCAGGGAGCACACAGGGATGGATGCTGGGATGTTCTTCATTCCCATGGACCTGGGGATGCAGTTTCCCCCCTGCTTTCCCAATGTGCACTTCCCTGGCCCAGTTCATCCTTTCTTCCACCCCTCTGACCCCCTGACACCCCTTCTCTGCCCTCCAGCACCTCCAGCACCACTCCTTGGCTGCAGCTTCAGCGGTGCGTGGATGCTCCAAGGCCACCAGCTTTTCCAGGGAGTTGGATTTCAGCTCCTCAGCTGGCAGGCTGTTTGTGAGCAGGTAGAAGTGCCTGGATTTATCCTCATTTGTTCCCTGAATGGTTTGTTTGTTTCTTTCCATTACTGCAGACACCTGACAGCCGGGCTGTGCTCGCTGCCCGCGTGTGGCTCCGGAAGAAGCTCAGAGTTCCTGCTGGGCAGAGCCCTGGGAGCCTCTGCCAGGCTCAGGGCAGCAGCTGCTCCCTGCTTAGCTGTGCTCACAGGCACAAAGCACTTTTCCAGCCTGCCTGGCACAGCAGCAGGACCTCTGTCCCCAGCTGGGAGTGCAGCCAGGTCTGTGCTTTTTCCTTCAGATGCTCCAAGAGATCCGACTGTGGCTCTTCTGAGCAGGGAAAATCCTGCCTGTGCTCCCTCCTCGGGGTTCAAACCTCACCGTGAGCACCTGATGCTCTTCACAGAATCCCAGTCTAGTTTGGGCTGGAAAGGAATTTATTATAACCTCATTCCATCTCCTGCCATCTCCCACTGTCCCAGGGTGCTCCAAGACCTGTCCAGCCTGGCCTTGGACACTTCCAGGGATCCAGGGGCAGCCACAGCTGCTCTGGGCACCCTTCCTTACAAGGAAGAAATTGCTCCTAATATCCAATCTAATCTTATTCTCTGGCAGTGGAAAGCCATTCCCCCTTGTCCTGTCACTCCAGGCCCTTGGAAATTGTCTCTCTCCATGTTTCTTGCAGGCTCCCATCAGGTCCTGGAAGGCCACAGTGAGGTCATCCCTGAGTCTTCTCTTTTCCAGGCTGAACAATCCCAGCCTCTCATCCCAGCAGAGCTGCTCCTTCCCTCTGATAATCCTGGTGCTTCCTCTGGGCTCTCTCCAGCAGCTCCAGCTCCTCCCTGTGCTGGGCCCCGGGGCTGGGGCAGCTCTGCAGGTGGGGTCTCACCATCACCATCCAGTGCAGCCCCTGGCCCTGGCCAGACCCCCCAACAAGCCCACCCTGAGCATCCCTGAGAGCGCTGTCCAAACGCTCCTGGAGCTCTGGCAGCCTTGGGGCCGGGCCCATTCCCTGGGGAGCCTGGGCAGTGCCAGCAGCCTCGGGGGGAAGAACCTTGCCCTGAGATCCATCCCAAGCCCTGGCACAACTCCAGCCATTCCATAAATCCACCTGGAACAAGCCCTTTCCTTTGGCATCTCCAGCTCCATGCTGAGCTGGAACACGAGAGAAGGCAAATAAAGATTTTATTTCCAGCCAGAATTTATTGATTTGTTGGACACAGGAAAAAGAGGAGTTGACATGGATTAATGCACATCCTTCTCCTTCTCACTGTCCTTGGGCAGCTGCCTATGGGGTTGTGAAGCTGCTCTTGGGAATCATCTCCCACCCTGGGATGCTGAACTGGCACCAGCAGCACCACAGAGCTTCCCAGTGCTCCATGCAGGAAGAACTCCTGGTTTAACACCAGGAGAGGCTTTTCCAGCATGGCCTGAGCCTGGAAAGGTTTCCAGGCTGTGCATAAATCAACCCCAAGGCTGGGAAATGATTTCTTGCAAATGCTGGTTTTCCTAAGGGTGGGCAGAGCTGTGGCCTGTAACTCCCCCATATCCAGACAAGCTCATGGAAAAGATATCAGGAGAAAGGAAAACAGCCCCAAATAAACCAAACAGCTCCTCTGAGGGTCAAATCATGGCAGATGTCAAGGCAGAGTGTGGAACAAAATTGTTTGTTTTATCCACATGGATAATGAGCAAAGGCAAAGGAAAATCCAGCTCCCTGGCT